TGCTACACAGCCCTATACTCAAAGATCATTGTACTGTGTGTTGTAATATATTCTTTCCTTTCACTTTGATTCAAGGTATCCTATCAGCAGTTTGTGCCACAGTAGCCCTTCTCTTGGATCATACATGATGGAAAAGCCTTTTGTTTTTACTAATTGTTTACCAAATATGACACCCAAGAGCCACTCAAAATAGAGGATTACTAAATGAGGTCATTGTATGAGGAGGAAGTAAGAAGTGCAGTTTATAAGGATATGTAGGAAAAATAATGGCCAACCCTAGACTTGAAGAGAGTAAAATTAAAGACGCATCCTATCAGGAGACTATTCCACAAAGTAGCAGTTCTTGGGTAGTAGCAGTCGGAATGGAACTTCTTTCTTACTAATGATATACAAAGGGAATATGGTTGACTTATCCCAGTGTATGTGTCCTGATGAGTTTTAGCTGTGAAGACCAAAACATGTAAAAGTTAAGAATGTAGCTCATTAAAACATTTACCATGGAAATAGCAACAGAGTAGCAAGAAACTTTCATCTATTTCTTTCATTGATAATTGTTGGCTTTCCAAAACATAATGTAAATACACCACTAGTTGGACTGTTTTAGAAATACCTTGATCTATGAATGATTGACTGGTTTGTTTTTTATGGTTTATCAACCTTTTGTAGGTTATTTAAAGCCAGAATTTTTTATTTGTAAGATTTTTTTTGGAAATAATAATCATTTACTGATACAAGTCATACTAATTTACACATAGCTGGCGGGAATTCATACCTTCCCTAGGGGTACTTATGTATAAGTGAATATAATAACCTTAACTGGAACTGGAACTGGAACTTGGCTCTCCAATTTCCAATTCCAAGCCATTATCAATTACACCATCTGCACATCCAGGCTGACAGCACTTGGTATTCTCAAGCAGTCACCCATCTAGGTACTGACCAGGCTCAAGGTTGCTTAATTTCAGTGATTTTATGAAATGGTCATAAGCCACATTGATCTAGACTTCTGGCAATGACAATTTGGCCTTTATTAAAGTCAATCAAATCTTTCTTTTTACTCATAACTGTAACATTCAGCACTTCAGAATAAAGTACCTGAAGCTGGCCTACTAGCTTATATACTTTTGATCATGACATATGCAGTTCTGAGACAGTAGCTGTCATTCTTGCCACAAATCACTGATTAATACTTTGGCTCATTAGTATATTATATAGACCTCTTTGCTTATATATGTGACTAGTAAGGTGTGCCAAGTTCACCTGCAACAAAATGACATCTCAATCTTCTGAAAACTGTCTTCTTATATCCAGTTTTGGAATATATAAATAATCAATAACTATAATCATAAGAAAGAAGTCATATTTCTGTTACATTAATAGTAAAAAATCATTTCTTTAACCTTTCACCCACAAAATGTCTATGAAACATAAAATTATTATTGGATTTTCCTTGCAGACAGGCATCAATAAATTTGGCATAAAAATTGGAAGAAGAAAAGAATATGCAAAAATTAGTATATATTTATTTCTGTTTTTTAGCCAGTATGTTTTTATAATCTTGAGTATTTTTTGTGATGTCAATGAATACTCATCACTTTCATAATGCTTGTTATAGTAGAGACTTTGTAAATTACAGATACAACTATACTAACGCCATTGAACAATGCTGGTGTCAGATGCCTTTGAATATCACTCGCAGTAATAGTACATGCTTGATAATACTCACTCAAAAAGTAACCACTGAATAGTAATCCATAGAGTGTTCAGCATAGAGAAAAGTGTAGAGAAGGGAATAGTGATCCATATAGTAACAAATGATAGCATAGAAATGATGATCCATATAGTAATAGAGGATAGACTAGAAATGATGATCAATTAGATATCATGCTAATTCCCATTTACGCATTCCTTTATGGTCACGTGATCTTCTTAGTTTAGTAATGGGATTGCTTGTGTTTGCTCACTGGTGATCTATGTTCAAACTCCAGTGACACTTTATTCCTATATAACAGTATTATAATGATTATAATTGAAAATGAACAATATATATTACAACTGTACAATAATAAGCTGAATTGCTTCTTTTGTTAATAAGATAACATGATCAAAAATATATGATAATATTATCATATAATAAATAGACATGATAAAAAAATATGACTGGCAACTGCTCTCAAAAAGGATCTCCAGTCAGTGGTTAACTGGGGCAAGGAATGGCTTGTAAATTTTATTGTCTCCAAAACAAAATTGCTTTCTTTTAATCACCACAGAGAACATTTTCTGCCTACCATTAGCATGGTTGATGCTAACTTCCTGGAGTGCAACATTTTACCCGTTCTTGGACTCACCTTTTCCACTGACATGAAGTGTAGTGATTATATTAAATTAATTGCTAGTTCTGCTGCTAGGAAAGATGATTGTTGTATCAGAATCCATTTTGTATATTTATAAATCTATAATTCATTCATGCACTGAATACTGCTGCCATATCTGGTCTTGTGTTCCTATTATATATCTGTAGATTCTTGACAAAATTCAAAATAGGTTCGGCAATGTTATCAATCCTGACCTGGCATCTCAGTTTTTCTCATCAGAATCTACTTTGCATATTTATAAATCTATCATCTATCCATGCATTGAATACTACTGCAATATCTGGTTTGTTGCTCCTACGATATCTCTCTAGATTCTTAACAAAATTCAAAGAAGGGTCTGTATTATTATCAATCCTGACCTGGCATCCCAACTTCAGTTACTTTTTCACTGACATAATGTGGCTTCCCTCTGTTTTTTCTACTAATATTTTCATGGCAATTGTTCTGATGAGCTATCCTCCTTTATGCCTTAACTGCATGAAATTAAGCATGTTACTAGATTGGCAACTAGGTCTCACTGTTTAACTGTTGAACTAGCTAGATGCCACTTTTATTCTAATAGTTTCTTTTCTCAAACTTCTTACCTGCAGAAGTCCCTTCTAATTTCTTGCTTCCTTGCCATCCACAATCTTCACAGATTTAAATGTGACGTCAATCATCATCTTTTATCTGCTTGAACCCTGTTTCTTTATTGTACATTCTCCTCACTAAAATCTTCTCATTCTCTTTCACTCCCTGTAACCCCCTGTGTCCTAGTGTCATTATCACCTTGCTTGGGTTGAAATGATTAAAAAAAATAAAAAATATGAGAGTGATAAAATATTATTGTTATCAACCAATGGTAAGAAAAATTTATAGATTTTGAAAAGCCAGCAATTGCTTCTTTGAATATCAATATCTTAGAGTATAAAGAAGACAAAACTTTTAGATTTTACAAGCATAGTCAAAAAACATATCTGAATAAAATGATATAACATAAAAATTATTTTAAATTTACTTAAAACAGATGTTCATTTTCTTAGAGTCTCTGAATATAAAGTGTGTAATTGCTAAAAATTCAGATTAGTTTTCTATTTTTATTAAATTTAAAATGGTCATGGACTTTTTTTAGTTTAATATTAAAAACATATTGCTGTACTTTAATTCATTTTCTTATAACAAAATAACATTAAGTCAGTCATAAAATAAAAATTGCTTTTGTATACCTTTTTAATCTAAAATAATGTTTTAAATATACAAAAGCAACTTTTTAATGATGAAAATTCATATTAAAAACTGTCTTAAAAAGATTTAAATATGCTAAATTAATTTTTTTATTTTTCATGATGAAAATTGATAATAAAACCATCTTAAAACTGATTGCAAATGCTATTTTTATGTTTTGTGATGAAAAATTGATATTAAAAACAATGTAAAAACTGCTTTAATATTAATTTTCATTATAATTATTATCATATTATAACAAAAATTGCTTTTGCATACTTCAAACCATTTTTAGACTGATTTTAATATTAATTTTCATCATCCAAAATTAACTCGATTGATTTCTACTGGCAGACAAATTTAAGCAGAGTAATTAAAAATTTTTCAAAAATAACCTTTATATAATTAAGATTTTATGAAAATTAATTAATTTATTGATGACTTAACTGGATTTTACAAAGAATATTTGTTTTACTTAAAATATACTTAAATGTACATTTCTTTTTTAGCAGATCTCTCAACTCAAGATGAAGGCCATGTGTTCAATCATTAATTAATAGTAATAAAATAAGTAATATTATAATAAAGTAAAAATACTGATGATAAAAGCTACATTTGATTTATACAAAGTGCAAAAAATTATTCACTGTTCAATATCCTTAGACTGTGGTAATAAAACAAAGACATTGATCATTTACTAACAATGCATACATGCACACTGATAACAGCTTTGAGGTGGCTAATACCCTTGGGAAAGGTATGAATCCTTTTCTCTCCCCCCCCCCCAGCTATGGGTAAATAGCAGGACAGACTGGGTTCTATAGCTTTGGATGGCAACTGGTCTACTACAGAAAAAAATGGCAACCTACTGTGGCAAAAAATCTGCCTCGTCAGTCATGTATCAAAAGATACATGATAGCCTAAACATGTATCATGCATGGCACATAACTAATAACAGCTTACACACTGTCAGATCATTATAATGACATAATCATTAAAATTAAATGTAAAAATGAGTATCTATATATTTATGCATATCTATATAAATTATTAGAGATTATAGTTTGCAGTTAAAGTTTAGGATTAAGGTTCAGGGTCAGCAGTTAAAAGTTAGGGTGAGGGTTTTGGATTAGCAGTTGGAGATTATTGGTTGACTGATTCATTTTCTACTGCATATAAATCCTTTTCAGGTTATTTAAAGCCAGAAAATATTTCTTTTTTAGATTGTAAGAATTTTTTAGAGATGATAATGATTTACTAAGTCTTACTAATAAACCCATAGCTGGGGGGGAAAGAGTTGAATTCATGCCTTTCCCAAAGCTATTTGTGCATGTGAATATATCAAATTCAACTGTGATTGAAACTCAGCTCAGTGATTAACAATTCCAAGCCATTATCCATAACACCATCTGCATATCCAAGCTTACAGCACCTGATGTTCCCAAGTGGTTACCCATCTAGGTACTAACCAGATTCAATGTTGCTTAACTTCAGTGATTGCATGGAAATCAAAGTTTTGACATGATGTAGCTGAAAGCTAGTTAGGGTTAGTTGTTAGAGTTTAGTATTATGATTTAAGGTTAGGATTAGGTTTAAAAGTTACAAAAACATCAAATATTTGGCTATGTCAAGAAAAATTGTATCAAATTTATAGTGATTAAATAAGTAATAATAATGGTGAGTATTTCCGTTTCCACCCAGCAAACATTCAACATTCATTGATTGAATAGTAAGTGTTACTGTCAGTTAAAATCTTTTTCTGAAGTCAGTTTGTCAGTAAATTCCACTAATTTTTATCATTCTTTCTAATACTAATGAAAGTTTCCTTCCAACCTTTTATGTTTTTGGTAGTGTGTAAAATCATCAACTTGATTATATCATTATTTTCTTTTCTACCAATTATCCATGCTTCAAATATTGCTCCTGCTATATATTTAGAGACTCTTGATAAAATCTAAAGAAGAATCTGCAATGTTATTGGTCCTGACCTAACATCCCAGCTTCAGTCATTTTCCTACCACCATAACATAGCTTCCCCTGTGCATTTTTATAAATACTTTCATGGCACTTGTTCTGATGAACTTCCCACTTTTGTAAATAGGCTTTATGAATTTAAGTCCAGTACTAGATTGATGGAAAGGTCTCATCATTTTACAGTTGTAAGATGTAACGGTAAATTTCTTTGCAAAAAGTTTCTTTACTTGCACTTCTCACCTGTAGAACTTTCTTCTGGTTCCTTGCTTTCCAGCCAATATTGATCTTCAAAAATTTAAATGCAATGTCAATCATTATCTGCTGTCTTCTTGATTCCTCTTCTTTTACAGGGTGCACTTAAAGTCAGGACACATAGACATAAATGCATATTTTCAAGAAAATAAATTTTCAACATTTTATTGAATTGGAATATCAACAAATAACATCTTCACTATGATTTCCATCATTTGTGATGCAAAGGTTGATGCACTTTGTAAGATTTACATGAACTCCACATTGACATCAATTTTAGCACATTCACTCTTTATGCATTCAATCAAGTGTGTCACAAATATGATTTTCATTGAGTACATCTTCTCCTTTAGCATACTCCAGAAATTCTTCCTCTTTCAACAAAACCATGCTTAATATGCAGAGGTAAAAAAAAAAATATCATTAATGTTATGGTCCGGTTCCTTGTACCATGGTGATAGTCCAAGGTAGAACCAATAAAGAAGAACTCGAACATGGATATGGAATAACACAGATATATTACAAACAGGAATATATACAGAGAAGAAGAAAGTGTTAGTACAAACAATCAGGTTTAGTAGTAATTGTCTGAACGCGACTCTGTTTCGGACTGCCTCTGACTCGACTTACTGACTCGCTCTGACTGGCTGACTGACAGACTCCTGATGGACCTCACTCCAGACTTCAGACTGAACTCTCTGCTTCCTCTTGAGGCGAGTATTTATTATGTATGAAATAGTTCATTATGTTATTATGGGTAAGGTCCCATAACAATTAATGAGATTCCCTGTGTCCAGGCTTCAAGAACATCCTGTATTGTTCACACACCTTAATAATATTTTTCTTTTTCTTATTCTTTCACATTCAGTAACCCCTTGGTCTTAGTGGCTTTATTGCCTTATTTGGAGTGAAATGATTTTTAAAAAGTTTATGTGCTACTCTTATTTTGTTGTTGCTGATGCTGGGAGTGTTGGTTTTGTTATTTGGTAAAACTCTTTGTTTTTCTCTCGTGTCAATCTGTTGGCTTTGATGAAGGATTGTCTTCATTAAGATGTAAAGGATTTATTAATTTAAAACTATTTTTAATCCTTGATCTGAGAAAATAGTTTCATACTGAAGATAGTTTAGACATTTCTGAATGGGTTGGATACCGTACATAACATTCATATCAAAGTCTAAATTTGACGAGGATACTTAAGAAAATGACTCTCTTTTTAGTTCAATATTTCAATTTTGCAGCATCTTATGATGTTGGACAAAAGTATCCATAGTCTAATCAATCCTAAGTTCAATTTCCTTATTACTGATATCAATTTATTTATACCTGATCCATACACTAATGGATTTGAAATGTTTAGAATTTATCAATTCCACATTTTGGATTTTTATGAAGGATTCACAGTAGGTGCATCTTTGCTCTCCATTGAGCAGAACACAAATTTGGAAAATGTAATAAAAAATTTTAATATTTGATATTTTATTTCAAAATTTTACTGAAAGAAACATGCTGACTAGCATGATGGTTACTATGGAATTGAAGGGACTGAGTTCAAATTTTGCCCAAGGCAGTTTCGGTTCATTTTACACTAATGTCCATAGGAAAGCCATGAATTTATCTTTTCTCATTTCTCACAGATGTTAAAGGATTAAATAGTAGAGGAGACTGGGATTTCTAAACTTGGTTAGCAACCAACAAGAAGAAGGACAACACTGAATTCAACATTGTGAAGAATGCAAATGGAAAACACTATTATTCACATGAAAAATCAAGGAAATATACAATTTAGAGATATTAAAAGATGGAAAAAGCTGTAGAGAGTCATAATTGCATATATCCTGATGAAGGAACATGGTAATTAACCCTTTGTTAGCAATGTAGGGAATTTTCATAGCTTGAGTACCATGAGCTTTTCAAACACCCCATTTAAAAATTAAGTTGTATCATTTACATCTAAATCTCTGGGATGAGAAGCTTACATTGTTTACATTATTTACAACAGACTATTGAATTTCATCAGGTGTATATCAATCTGGGTAACCTACAGGGAATAATGAACTTAACCCCTTATTTAATCTACAGGAGTAGATTGTTCTCATTCCACTGCCTGGATTGACATACATCTGACAAAACCCAGAAAAATTTGAAGTAAAACAACAAAAATGAGGACATTAATATTCTTGTTAGATTTTCTCTAGTAATATTATCTATGGTTATTGAAATCTAATAGGGTTTTTTGAGGGATTATTTTCTTTTGTTTTGTTTGTTTTTTGGGTTTTTTTATCTTGCTGATATAGTATTTGAACCTCATGTTCAACCATCTTTGTATAGCTTCAGTTTTTCTTCTCCTAGACTGGTTGCCAGGCACAGCTAGAGAGCTCAGTCTGCCCTACTATTAGCCAATAGCTGAAGGAGAAGAGATAGATTCATACTTTATACAAGGTTATTGTATGAAAATTAATGTAGTGAACTTGAGCAGTATTCAAACTTGACTCACTAATTTCTCTTTCTGAATTACCATTGCATCACCAGCACATCCATATAAAAATAGATTTCATTTTATTTTCACCATTATCTTTTAAATCAACTCATAATCCATCTACCTTCTCTTCAACTATTTTTTCCACATTCCAAGTAACAAAGAAAATGGTTACTGCAATCTTTGGTTTCCACCACAATTATCACAGGCAGTCTTTACTTTATGATTATTTGCTTGTAATTCACACAAATATTATGACTAAAACCAAAAATCCTTGCAGTTACTCGACAAATCATGAAAATTTGATTGGCTACTTTTTTTTACAATGATGTTCACACTGTACAGAGGTCAAAAGCTACTCAAGGTAGGGGGTTACAGAGTAAGAGGCACAAGGTGGCAACACCATCAAGACGCAAGGGGTCACTAGAAGGGAAAGAGAAGAAAAAAATTTTAGATGGTACTGGAAAGCCAATCTTAAACATGAAGCAAGAGATAAATCTTTACTCCTGTTCAAAAGACTAGGAAGGTGTATGAACCAGACAATAGGTGAATCTATTCTGCTTCTATTAATCTTACTAAATATTAAAGAAAAAATATCTTGCAGGATGTTCAGACATTTCACAGTACTGAGAGAGGATTAACGAGGACTGAAAAAAAAGTAAAATCTTTATATTTTTTTTAAGAAATTCAAACAGTAGATTTACAAACGAAGTTTCCATCAATTAATTTTTATTTTGTGCTCATTGAACTGGTAGCCAAGTTTTAATGACTGATTGATGATTGCTTTAATGTAAATCATTTAATGACCGATTGATGATTGCTTTAATATCAATAAGCAAAGTTTTTCTCACAGAGCAGACAAGGTCATTGGGGAGAGACAACTCCTTACATCAGATTGATTTCATTGATTTAATTGATTCTAAACAGCGAGGGAAAATAATGGCTACAAAACAAAACCTCTTTAACTAAAAATAATATCTAAAGTGCTGTAACAGAAAACTAACAATTCCAGGGACTAAAAATCACCAGAGAAACTCTAAGAAAAATACATCATGCACACACACACACACACATATATATATATATATATATATATATATATATATATATATATATATATATAAATGGACTTTCAAATCAACACTGGGCATTGACTTCAATGTCCACATTTATATTTACATACACTCTATCCTGATATATTGAGCACTTTAACCCATAACTATAGCATACCTTAAAACTACATTTTATCATATATATATATATATATATATATATATATATATAAGACGTTTTTATGTTTATACATTCTTTTTATAGATACAAATATTTCATTAAATGCTCTGTTTATAATAAACAGTATTAAACAACATTTACCGGCCTGAATGTCTGAAAAATTTTCACAGAAAATATTCATCCTCCGACAGGATTCGAACCTGTATCCTTTATGAAACCGTCATTTAGCTTGATGTGCCTTTACCGATTTGGCCACGAAGGAGCGTTCGGTTAGCAAGGTCAAATTTACTGTATTTGAACCGGTATTCAGGCCGGTAAATGTTGTTTAATACTGTTTATTATAAACAGAGCATTTAATGAAATATTTGTATCTATAAAAAGAATGTATAAACATAAAAATGTCTTAAAATAAGTGTCAGGCTTTGTCCATTTCATAATATATATACATATATATAAATATATAATAGCTGGCCACTCATATTTGAGGATACCCGTCTGCTAGGATGACTAGCTAAACTCTATCGCAGACACCCACTGATGCACATTTGTGATTGTTCAACACCCACAGAGCGC